CCCAACCCAACCCAACCCAAAAACCAGAAACTTTTTCACCCACCACCTGTCACTCACCGGGAAATTTCCTGTGGGCTGTGATGCCATATTTAGTCCACTTAAAGGCAATGATGATTGGCTTTGGCCCATTATCATCTAACTTGCCCAACTGAAGTAAGCCTAGTGAAACCAGGCCTAGAACCCGATCCAAACTAAAGTAAAAGTCAGATGCTCAGAGCCGTTGGATTGAATCTGCCTAATCTCGAGGTTGAGATATTTGAAGGATTCTAAATGTTTTTGGAATTCATTCTATTCACTCTCTTTTCTCTCGTTTTCTTCTGGAGACTTCTGAGTGTTCTCTGGTTCGTCTTCTGTGTGAGGATTTCGGTTGAATCAGTTTCTTGAGTCATTTCTTAGTGAGATTCATGGGTTTGTAAGGCCTTTTAGAGTGGTAGTCTTTAATCCCTCTGTCTTATTGTAGTAGCTTTGTGTTTACGGTTTGACTGTGGTGGTTTCTGGTGGAACTGGGCTTACGGTGTTGTAAGGGATTTTAGGTTTGATGTTCTGAGCATATACATCTGTAATACTTTGATGTTCAGTAGTGATCTTCATAGTTTCATGTATTAGGGTGGCTTCGAATGTAATAGGGTTTTGAGATCTGCTTCGATCTGTAATCTTTTGTCTGTAATTTATATAACAGTGGTATCAGAGCCTTTGGTAGCTTTTCTTGGGGCTACGATCACGATTTGGGGTCTGGAAAATTAATTTTCAACCTCCAAATCATAAGATCTCCTGAAAATCTGAAAACCCTAGTTCTTGATCCTCCGATTCTTGAAGTTCTTTAGTGTGCATTGGTTTTAGTACTGTTACTGTTGGGGACTGTGGGTGCCTGTGTTCCTGGTTCTGGTTCGACTGATTGATTCTATGTGCCTTCGTGGTTCTTGGTGGAACACCACCCCTACTGTGAACTATGTGTTCTTTCTGTTGTACTGAGACTGTGATTGTGTAGCTATTCGTTAGCTGCCTTTTGGTTTGCACGTTTCAACCCTAACTATACCCACCCTTGTGTTGTGACTCACATTTTTTGTCATACTATTTGGAGTGATCAAGTTGAGCCTTGACNNNNTTGACCTGAGAACATGATTCTCACGGAAACCTGGTGAACTTGGTCATTCTTATAGCATCTGTAGTACTCATTTCTTGATTTCACCTTGCTATATTATCTGTTTCTTGATCCAATCTTATTGCATACTTGATCATACCTGATTGTATAATTGTTTCTGTTTTTGTTGATTTGCATCCATTCTCGTTTTTGTTTCTTGTGTCTATTACCTAAAATGCATTTGTAATTTTTTGAATAACTGTAATAATTCTTTGCTGATTAATCTCTATGAACTGTTCCTCTTTTCTATTTGTGTAGATCAATTTTACCTTGTTCTTAGGTGCATCAGTTGTCATTGTCTTATTTTTCTTGAAATACTTTATGTTATTTCTGAATTTTAAAATCATGA